ACATCTCGCAAAAATAAACTTTCGAAAATTGGTGATATCTGTGTGAATGACTCCGAGTGCAAGATCATAAATTCAGTGTGTCAATTCGATGCACAGAATAAATCAGTGAGGAAATGTGCTTGTCGAAAGGGTTTTATCGAAACATCACAAGCTAATCGTTGCATACAAGGTGAGAAGCATGAACGACATGTCCATGAATTTTATTTTTGCGTTCATTATTCACGACTTTCACAATTTCTACAATTTTTACATAGATTCTCTTGGATTAGTGACTGTTTTGGTGTGAATATCTCGATATTCGAGAAAATATGTATACAAATTGCGAGTGAAGTTCCTTATTGGAATTGTAATTTTCTCGAATGTTTCTTCGAGGGAATGGTTGAAAGTAAAGTTTTTCATAATGAAATCTCTGGAAAATCTGATAGGATAAGAAGAGATCGATGGATATTGCTTCTAATAAACAACTGAAAACAATGAATCTCAATTTAATTTGTTTGAATTTCCGTCAAAATTACCAAAAAATTCAGGAGAGTATCGTCATCAAATGAAGTCGTGGAATTTTGATGGTAACTCTGCAATAATACTACAGAAATTGCGAATTATTCATAACAGATTGTCGATTTATATCCAAGTTAATATGAGTTATTTGATTGGCTTCATTTCATTTGTTTCATTATTTCATTATTCATTATTTACAAGTTACATACAAATATCATATTGATTACTTCATAAAACTAATAATACTGTTTAAGATACAACCCATGAAAGAGACAGCAGTAATATTTTATGCGTGGCAAAGTAATTCGCCAATGACAGGCGATTTTGTTTTGTTGGCATTAGCCGAGTCGAAAATTCTGTTGAGGTTTGTTTTATCAGTACAATAATAAATATAATTACAATAAATAATAACTAACAACACTAATAATAAATAACAATGGTAAATGATTTAAATATCAATGTTCAACATTAAGTATCAAGTATCAAATATTAAAACAATAATAAATATTAAAGTGAGTTTAAAAAAAAACTACATCATATCTCACCGGATACGTATTCTCGAGAATATGCCAGTTTGAGGCTAACGAAGAGGANTAATTGAAGAGTGAGGATTCAATTTGGGGGGAGGGGGGTTGGGACGGGAATATACAGACTCACAACTGCGGGGTGTTGAATCCAGATAGGGTTTATGTTCGGTGTTGAATACTAACGGAAATGAAATAATTGAAGTTATTCACTGGGCGATTCACCGATCACACTGATATCAAGTGATAAGTTAGTGATGCGACGACAATACGTTATCGAAGCGATCTTCTCGGGAGAGCGCTTATCACTGAGCATCAACTCGAAAACACCGCAGTACAACTTCATACCGAAACAATTCAAAAAGAAACATTTGAATATTGATTCACCTGCTTACATTGGATACATCCCGAATGGATTGTTTGTTCTTTCTGCTATTTCATTGTTTATTTATTCACTTTAAAGTTATCATTATCAATATCGGTATCGTATTGCTTAACTTCATACTTTATTGATAAATT